TATGAATTAAACAAAGTGCAGTGCCTCTCTACACGGTTATGTGTGGAAATGCCAAATGAATGACTACCAGGTTATTTAAATCAGTTCATGTGGATGGAACGAAATATAGTTAAAAGGTTCTTGGGGTTCTTGTAATGCAATCACCATACAATATCCTTTCAATAACTAAGTTATTTTAACTGTTTTCTTTTTCATGGAAAGTGAATAACATGTTATTTTAATTGTTCATTTATCAATAAAGGAGTTCATTTCCAACATTGCTTTTAATAAATAGAACATATTTTGTCAAAGGTTCGCTATTCTTGACATGGGGATAATTGTGTTCGCTGTTCTTGACATGTTGGGTTCGCTAATCTTGACAAGATCCGATTTATTCCACAATTACCAAAAAGCTGACATGCCGATTGTGTAATGGCTATTTGCACAAAAAAGTGACATTTGTGAAACAAGTTGAAATTCCAGTTGATTCTGTTTCATTTGCTTCAGACTTGTTGTTAGCATTCGCTCACACCAGGATCGTCATACTCTCTATTCCCTATTCCCGTTCTCTCTCCTGGTGGCTGTGGCATAGATGGCAATGAATCAAAGAGAGCTTGATGAGGCCACTCACGTGAATTTGATTTTGAACAACTCTGCGCGACGGAGAAGCCTAAACATTTGGCCAGAAGCGCCTCCCTCGTGGCTCAAAGAGAATTGAGACAGGCAAACCTGGTTACATCGTGCTGTCGGATGCTTGGCCTGTCAAAATCCGTCTTGGTTACACCAACCCAACTGGCGCTGCCCTCTTTCGCCAGTTTGGCCGTTAAGATCGTGTAGATCTTTTCCTATTCTGCCGTTGGGGTCTTCAAGGTTTTTTCTTGTTCAGTCTGGCCCTTCCTCTTCAATCTTAACACCATGGGTGGCCCTACAGGAGTTAGAACTCCAGACGGCTTCGCCCTTTGGATCAGAGTCAAGTAAGCCCTCTAGCATAACGAACGACTGTATATATTTCACACTGAATGTCGGAATGTTTAATGATAATTTTATACTTTTATTTATTGATTTGTTTCCATTACTGTCATTAAAGTAATAATAACTCAAAATGATGCATTTGATAATGATCTGCTTCAGACTAAGGCCTTTAGAAAAAGCATGAATCTAACTTCTACCAACTATAGGTTAAAGAGTATGGCAGACTGGGCTCTTTTGTCATGAATGGCAATCAGTCTAGGAGAAGGAAAATTCTGAATTCAACACAAGTCTGAAGTGGGACGGGTTCCAGAAGTACCCTTAAGCAACAGCACACCTAGGAGCAAATAAAAATATCACGGCACACATTACAAAATTTGTAAAGGTTATACATTTAAACATCATGAAATGAAACAATAGATTTTTTTTTAAAATACACACACAAATATAAACTTACTTTATTTCAATATTTCTCCTCGACTATTTGTGCAGAAACCCATGCCTGGTGTTTTTTTCTTAATTTCTTCAATGTTTGGTTGAACGTACAAGAAGCAGAGCCTCATTTCTCCTTCAGTTGAGTGTAGTTTTTTTATTTTTAATGTTAATTAAGGTTGAGAAGCCCAATTCACATAAATAAGTAGAAAAAACTGATAAAGCCTTTTTAGCTAATGTAGGATAAATAATTTAATACTTATTCATTTATTCAAATACTAATACTGCTGAACCATTACTACTTCCACACACACACACACATATATATGTATGCCATAACAATATTTTCACATCACACTAGTATGCCATGGCATGGCAGCTGAGAATCACTGCCCTAGCTAAACCAGTGATGCTACGGCTAATGGTTACAGAACTCATGATAAAAGTCATCATTTCTTGATTCGAAGGGGATTTGAGAATTTTTTTTATGTGCTGTCCATCGATTGGATAATTATAGTTCTCCTTCTGATTGGTTAGAAAAGATGAAGGTTGAAACTAAAGTTTTGTGTGTGCAGCAATTCTCTTTATTCTGCAATATAGCAGAAATCTGTTCTCTATAAATTCCTTAACTTAGAAAAAAAAAAAAAAAAGAATGAGTTTAACTTTAAATCAATGGGTTGCTGATAAAGTAACTGAAGAAATTAATAGTAACTTTCATGTTAAAATAATTTAATGACAATGTATTTGAGTAAGAATAAGGATTTCAATGAATGAGTAAATTTTGAGAAAAAAAATGCTCAATGAATGACTTTGAAAGAGAAAAAAATGAATGTGTATCCAAGTCTTTTTTTCTCTATAAAAATATTCCAGTATGGCAGCAAGTCATAAATTCCATTTCAGGAGAATGCATCATCCAAAGAACTAATTTATTGAGAAATTCTCCTGTTGGATCTTAGAGATGGCTTTTCTCTAAAGAAATGGTTGAATGATTCTTAACATGAGCAGTAATGACTTCTTGGGAATACTTTGAACCCTCAAGAGGGCAGGGATTGTTGAAGGGAATGACAAGAGTGACATAATTTTAACAGGGGCAGTACGATGATTGAATCCTGATTGGAACAAGTTACATTTTATAAATAAAAGACAAAAGGAAAACTCTATAACAATACATTTCATTCCTTGAAAAACTTTATCATGTGTGGAAATTTTATTTAGTAACCTGTATTTATACAAAGAAGTCATGTAGATAAAAAATATCAAGTCTTCAAATTTTAAATGAGAACATGCTAAAATATTGTAGAAGCCTACTGTGTGAAAAAAGTTTTTTTTTAATCAATTCCCCCCAAGATGCAAGGGGCTACTGGAAGTAAAAGAGAAAGAAAATACTTTAGAAAGAAAGAGAAAACCAAAAATAGCATACATTTCATAGTTTAGGCAGAGACATTAGACGTATAGAGTTGAATTAAAATTTAGAAAGAACTGGAAACAAGGGTTAAACCACTACTCCTGTTCAAAAGATCAGGGAGGTGTATGAACTGGATGATAGGCAAACCTATCTACTCCTATTGAGGAGAAAATAAAAAATATATAGTAAATATAATTTCAGAGTTTAAGTAGAGATGTTGAAGTAGAATTCAGAAGGAACCGGAAACCTAATCCTATATAGCAGATGTTCTCAACAAGGGGTAAATTTACCCCTAGGGGGTAAATAATTGAAGTACCTGATAATTTAAAAAAAACGCCTGAAAGCTGATGATGATATGAGAGTAGCATTATCAGAAACAGCTCCTTGCATAAACAAACTGATTGACTCAATAAATCAGCAGTGTTCCCACTGATAATGCTTCTGCTGTTTCTGTTCATTATTTTTTGTAATACAAATTAACTTCATAATTTTCTATTTAGAAAAGGTTTCATTTTCTCCTTTTTTTTTCATACCAATGTATAATACTATTTTTATACAAAACCTAAAGTCCTAAACAATAAAAAGGTTCTTTCTGACCTTGTTTTTCTATCACTTTATGACATTGATGTACAAATGAATGATGGATTACTTTTTTTTTTATCAGAATACTGATTTTTTATTAATTTTTAGTATTTGTCAGTATTTTTTTTATTTCTGTTTTGGTATTTTTACTAATGACTAATTTTCACAATTTTTAGTTACAAATTAGTCAGTACTAATCATAATCATTCATTCAAAGAAAATTGTTTTTAGTATTTTCCAAAAATTTTTTAAATTGCCAAAAACAAAAATACTAAAAAAAAATTTTTTTGCATGAATGATTATTAGTATTAATTTGTAGATCTACTAATACAGCAGATAAAATAAATAATTTTTTATTAATGACTACAAACGTTAATAAAAATACTGAATTTTATACAGAATACTAACTTATACTAAAAAATTAGTAGATTAGTACTAAATAAGAAATCAGTATTTTGAGTGTCGCTTAGTATTATTTTTTAGGCACAATATTTTGACTAAAAAAAACGCTTAGTATTTTGAATGAAAAAATCATTCATTCATTTAGTCATAAAATTGTACATCAATGATTTATGATGGCTATGAATTTTTTGTATGGGAGTAGGGGGTAAATAGAAAAATACATAAAGCCGAGGGGGGTCAATGATGGAGGAAAGGTTGAGAATGGCTGCTATATAGGAAACAAGGGATGAACCTCTACTCCTGTTCAGGGTGGAGTGTCAACCTGGCAATAGATGAACCTATCTACTCCTATTTTGTACCCTTGAGTTTTATTTCTGAAGTTCCAATAAAATAATTACCATGAACCCTCTGGAATAACTATCCACAAGTTAACATTTTCTTTTAATTTATAATAATTGTTAAGATTATACATGTTGGTTTCTTAAGCCAGCATACATGATATTTTTTTCTCCACATTATTTCGGTCTATAAAAATGGGTTACTAAATAAAATTTCCACACTTGCCTTGATAAAGTTTCTCAAGGAATGAAACATGTTGACACAATAGGTTTTCCATGTCTTTTCTTTTATTCATATTGTCTTACACATTTGTTTATTTTTAAAGGTATTTATTATCATTTATTTATTATTAATTATTTATTTATTATTATTATTATTATAATTTATTATGATATATTTGTTTATTACTAATGTTTACTATTATTAATTAATCATTTATTATTTTATTAGTCATTATTTTATTTATTATTATTATTATTATTACTATTTATTTATATTATTATTTATTTAATCTAATTATTTATTTATTATTTATTTAATCTATTTATTAAATCTAAATTAATAAATTATTAATCTAAATTATTAATCAAATTAATCATAAATTATTAATCTAATTATTTTATTTTTTTTGTTTTTTAGTGAGTACACATGTTTGAGTTGTTATCCCCATTTTTTATTTTTAAAAAGGGAAATTAATAACAACTGGCCTAGATTGAGAAGTCCTACTAAAGGAAAAAAAAAAACTATGCCTCCAACAGGAATTGAACCTGAATAAGTCTATACAAACATAACAGAGTTTGTACAAAATAACAAAGAGCTAAATTGATTTTTATTTTTTAAAAAAGGTTGTAAATGTAAACTGCAAATATATATTAAAATGTTTTTTTTTTTTTCAGCTGGAACTGGAAACTTGCAATTGCTTCAGATTAAGGCTGTCTTCATATGATTGCAGGGCCAATTCCAGATAATCTTTCTGGCTGCATTCAGTGCTACAAAAGACCTGAAAAAGGAAATCAAGTTTAAAGCATTAAAAACAGAGCATAAAACAAAGTTCAAAGTTTTTTGAACTGCAACTTTTCTCAGCTTCTGCAATATTTTGTGAAAACAAAAGTTAACTTTTTATAAAACTGTCATTAATCCAACACACATTGTTGCTTAGTAATAAGCAGGAAAACAAGAAGCAGCAACGCATTTATTGCACATTTAAATTTTATATGGTTAGATGTAACCACAAGTTCTATGCTAACAGTTTCTTCTGCCGCACTTCACACTTGTGGAACTCTCTTCTGGGTCCTTGCTTTCCAGACAAATTTTCAAAAATTTAAATGCTGTCAATCATTATTTTCTATCCTCTTAATTTTTGTTCTTTTATTGTTCTCTCTATCCTTAATGTTTTTTTCCTCATATTCTCTTATATAATCTTAGTGTCTTTATTGCCTTGCTTGGGGTGAAATGATTACAAAAATAAAAATCTAGCATAAATATTGCCAACTTCAAGGCCTGTATTGTTGTTTAATATAGTTTAGTAAAACAGCATCACTTGAACACTTCCGGCAACAAAATGGGTAGCAAATGTAACTAGAAGAGAAAATAATGATAGAAAATGTTAAGGCTTCAAATTACCTTAAGCAGAAGGTTAAAAAGGAAACTCCCACCAATGCTACAAAGAGCAATAATGGAAGAATTGAGAAGTCTAATTTCTTGAAAAAAACTGTTTTGAGAGGAAGACTTCATTGCAACACTAGAACCTCAGGGAGTTAAACAAATAAAAGGGGGAAAAAGGAAGAGGAAAGAGACTACTAAAACTGGATGATAATTGTTGAAATTAATAGGAAAGTGGATTGAAAAGTTGAGAAAAATAAAAATGAAATGCATTAAAAAAAAATTATGTTTCAAAATAATAAAATCAAACCTAAATTTAACTAGACAGATTTCAGTAAGATTGAGCAAAACCAAAACTATCCTTCCTTCCCCACTTTCCACCAATAAGAAAAAGACAATTAATGTATCATCAAAGATGTTGGTTCTAGAAAATAGAAAAACATATTGTTGATAAAGAAAACAGATGGTCACTGAAATAACATCTAAAATTGTTCTGGACAAGGAGTCAAGAAAAACATCTGGTTTGAATCAGCTACCTAAAAGAAAAATATCCCTACAAAAATAGAGATGAGTGCCTAAGATTGGGAATAGGTTTGTTCATTTTAATTTTTGACATTTGTCAAAATTTTTATGGCCAACATTATTTTGGATTCTTTTGGATACAAGTGATAAAGAAATAGTTAATTACTAGCCCTTGAGTGACCATAGATAACCAGCTGCGTGGCCTGGTTGATTGAGAAATCACCTAAAACAACCAGCATGAGACAAGCTGATAAAGAAAGATTAATTACTGGAAATCCCCTTTTCACCTATGCATACTAAAAGTTTAGATCCATCACAAAATACAATGTACCAGCCCTTGGAGTGAGCTGAGATTGGATGCTGAGAAAGTAGAAAGAAGAGAGAAATTAGAGCGATGGTGCAAGATGAGACATGAAGGGAGTTGGAGTTAAGAGGCATCTTGGTTACTCTGACCACTCTCAAATGGAGGCTGGACAACCCCTAAATTTAGAAAATTACCTGAGTAAACATATTTTGAAAATAAAGGATATTAGGAATAGGTTGATGCTAAGAGTGGAAGATAACCAAACCCCAGACCCTGGTCAACCCCACACCTGCCGGACACAGGTCTCCATATAAAATGGAAGTTTGGACCACTTGAAGAGTCCCCATATTACTGCTACTAGAATCCACAGCATTTGCTGAGACTTCCTGATCAAGACGTTGTGCCAACCCTGAAAACCAGAACTTAGAAATTTAAATTACGACTAACACAAGTTGTAAACCCCAAAAGGAGAATTTAGTGTCATTTGATTATAATTTTAAGTGAAAAGGGTTAAAACTTCAGTATACAACAAATCATATATAACCCAAATTGTTGTTACATTTTTAACCAGAGTTAATTCTTTATTCCAAAGAATTCTTTTTTGTGTAGCTCCTCGCTGTCAACTTGTTCTTTCCTTCAGTTTACTTCATCAGAGATTTTCTCCACCTCTGAGATCAAAAACACTATGTTGTGTGAATGATTTTGAAGGAGACAAACGCCAGCTAGATCAAGTGGAATTGTGCTCATCAACACAATACTAGTGAAAAAAAGCAACATTTTAATGAGTGAAGAGTCAGCTACATGTTAACCATGGTGGTCTGAAGGAACCTGAAGACCAACATGGGGGAATGAGGTTACATCATAAATTTAAATCAGCAATAACACTAATTGTTCAATCAATGAATGTCAAATGTTTCCTGTATGGAAACAGCTACTCTCACAATTACTATTGTTGTTTTGATTGATTCATTCACTTTTTTATGGATTATCAACCCTTTGCAGGTTTATTTCAAGCCAGACAAATTATATTTTTAAATTATAAGAATGTTTTTTAGATATAATAATGATTTAGTGATACAAGTCTTACTAATTAACCCATAGCTGGGGAAAAAGAGGCAGATTCGTAGCTTCCATAAGGGTATTTGTGTGTAAGTGAATATAACAAATCCAACTGGAATTGGAACTTGGCTCTCTGATTAACAATTCCAAGCCATCATCTATTACACCACCTGCACATCCAAGCTTACAGCACCTGGTATCCCCAAGCAGTCACCCATCTAGGTACTGACCAGGCACGATGTTGTTTAACTTCAGTGATCATACAGGAACCAGTGTTTCAACATAGTATGGCTGTAAGAATTGCATTTTATAATTGCTGTTCTTCAGCAAGTTCAATATGCAATAATAACAGTATTTTTTCTTTTACAGTGAGGTTCCCCTCTGTTCAAGGACTAAGGGCCATTCAAGGTGAGGGTTACATTAAGGGGCAGTTTATATGGATGGGAGGGGAAGATAATGGTTAACTCTAGACTTGAACAGATTAAGATTGCAGTGATCAGGAAAACATCCTCTCAGGAGTCTATTCCACAGAGCAACAGTTCAGAGGAAGAAACTGTTTGAGTTGAACCTACTTCTCACTGATGGAATATGAAGAGAATGTAGGTGGGTTGCTACAATGTAAGTGGCATGGCAGTTTCCTGGCCATGAAGGTTAGACCTAGCAGAACCAATGACTGTAGCTTGTCCAAGCACATTCCATAGAATTAGCAATAGAGCAGTGAGAACCTTGCCACACCCCACCAGTGAGAGAGAGGTTGGTGGGTGGAAGATAATTTGTCACCCATAGGGACTTGGAAATGCTTTTGAACTCTATAGAGACTGGGTAGCTCTAACACAAATATGATAACAGTACTCCATTTTCAACCTGATCTGGCTCTTGTAAAGGTAAAGTTTAGCATAAGGAGTCAGGTACTTACTAGAGCGACACAGGAAGGCAACCATTTTACCTGCTTCTCTGGCAATGGATTGTATATATGAATTCTACTTGAGGTCAGGTGTGAGTTTGAGGCCCAATAGTTTCTCAAGGCACAACCTCTCATTGTGACTGGCAGTAGTTTGGGGCTAATTGTTTCCTGACCAAAGTGATAGCAACACCTTAGAACAGCTCTCCGCTTCAAAAGATTATTTAGAAAGGGCATCCACCACAGAGCAATGCTCAGTAATCTAACCTTACATGCCATTAGCATAGTGATGATGATCCTCACCAGATTCTCCCACTAGAGTGGTGGTCATATGGCAAATTATTGATGCTGACTATGGTAAACTAGCTAGTCTTGCAAGCCATTGGTAATGAAAAATGGATTGCTTATAACAATGTGGAGCAAAAAAAACAACCTGTGACCACTTTAGAAGCTGGTCGGCATGAAAGGGCATTGTATATTATGAGCTCCTCTGCAAAATCAGATATTGAAATTCAGACAAGTAGTCTCCATTTGGATTATTTAATTGCGTCAATCGATGAAAAATCTCCAGAATTGGACATTCAGAAGGGTGTCTTTTTCCATCAGGATAACGCCACACTTCATGTCTCATTGTAGACCAAGCAAAAATGAGTACAGCTTAGCCAGATGTCCTACTACACCCAACATATTCACCTAAACTTGCACCTTCATATTACCAGATCTTAACATCAGAAAGAGATTTCTAGGGCTCATAATGAGAAAAGACAGCATGGAAAAATTGACACCCATAGGACATACTGAAAGCAAAAGGGATAGAGGTAAACAGTGCATAACTTACCTAACAATTTTGTGTAAATGTTTGGCAGAATATGGATTAGGAGATATAGCAAAAAGACAAAGTTTACTAAGGGCTACAAAGGACAGGAAGTGGTGGAGAGCCATGATACCCATATGAAGGGATATGGCATATGGAAGATCCCTACAAAATTGTCTTAATAGGAAGAACTTCAATTCTATGGAAACCTTTAAAAACCACTTCAACCAGTTCATCACCTAGAATGATGTCAAGTTCTGGGAGAATGGAATCATGAAGCTGTCTCAAAGATGGCAAGTAGTAGCAAAGTAAAATGGTTGAATAAATATCAAAATATTGTCTTTGAAATTTGCTTAGAAAATGCTATGGATTTTGTTCTAACAAGATTTAGTTAGTAAGGTTATGTAGCAAGGATCAATATCACTATTTTTGCCATAATGTAAGTTGGGATCAAAGTCATTATTAAAAACCTGCAATTTATTTTAGCTTGGATAATTGGATGTTGAGTTGTTTGGCAATGTTCAATCTTGGTGCCCATAAAAAAATAGTGTGTCAAAAGGATCATTATTCCCTTGACACCACTATTACTGTATATACTTTTGACTCCCTATTAATGCTTAGTGTTTTAAAAAGCAATGATTAGAATTTGAATAAAACCCAAATATATGAAAGTGAATTTATACATTTTCTTTATTCTTGAGAATTGACCACAAAAATTTTAAACACTATTTATTAATGAAAAACTGGTTTTCATAGTTATTTATAAAATGTTAAATAATAAATACTGCATTGTAGTTGGTTTACATATTTTGATAATTTTGTAATTTTTTTTAATAATTTTTTGAATAAAAAGATTTCTTTTCAAATTTATTTCTTTATAAAATGGTAAATAATATTACATTTTACTTGGTTCATATATTTTTATAATCTTGTACATGAACTTTGCCAGGGGAGTCAAAAGTGTATATAGTAATAGTGGTGTCAAGGGAATAACCGTTCTTTTGACATGACATATTTTTTTTTTGCAGGCAGGAAAGTTAAACATTGCCAGTTATTTAATGTTGAATATGAGAGAAAACTCACAATGAATTAATAGTACAATGTAATTTCTCCAAAATAAGTTACTTACTTTAACCAATTCCAGATGATTATTGATATCTGCACATTTAAGTGCACACTTGCTGTCAGGATAGATGATGTTATGTAAATGGACAACATCAGCAGCATCTGAAATTCTACAAATATGTTTTTTTAAATATGTATTCTAAAGTGAGGTAAAGGCTTTATACACTCACAATACATTGTCACAAATTATCTTCATAGCCATAAATCCATTAATGATTCTGTAAAGTGCAAAACAAACTTAAAATTAGTATTCAACTACAAACAACTGTTTTCTATACAGTTGATCCATTGTAATATGAAACAGTCAAATAAATAGATTTGAACAAAAAATTTTAAAGCAAAAAAGAAAAAACATTTTTTTGCAAAGAATCTTTAGTGAAGTTGTTAAAAATTAAGGAAAACAATTTTTGTAATCAGGATAAAAAAATATAAAGACAAAACAAGAATTTAAACTACTAGGGCAGATTATTCTAGTTCCACATGCCATGCCTTTTCTAGATATCTCAGTTTCAGTTAATTCCCTTTAGTAACTCAACTCTCCAAGTTTTTGTTCACCTATGTTGTGGCCATGTTTTTGAACTCACAACTCTTTGGATCAAGTCACCGGATTACTTTAATCAACGCTTCCAATGTATATCACCTGAAGAAGGCTGGAGCATACAACGGCTGAAACATTGTGAATATGAAAATAAAGATGAGGATAACAGTCGGAACAGTATAAAAAGTTACAATACCTCATCTCAGAAATATAGACAGACATTGAAGAATTTAAAATTAAAAAGAAAAACACTTTTTGACTAAATTTTGTTAGAAAAAGTATTTTAATTATAGTGTGTGGTTACTTTAGACTAAACTCATTATCAAAGACATGCAAAATCATTGGAGAACAAGAAGGTGGTTTAAAAAAAGAAAAATGTCTTCACGCAAATTCTATGCTCAGAAAACTTAATCAGCAGCTCAAGCATAGACATTAATAACTTACAGAAAGCATTAAGCAAAAAGAAACAAGCAACAAATTTTGGATTCAATAGGCATGGTCCAAGAGACAGGAGTCATTGATTAATTGATTTGTTTTTTTACAGCTTATCAACACTTAGCCATTCATTTAAAGCCAGAAAATATTTTTAGAGTGTTTTGAGATAATGATGATTTACTGATACAAGTCCTACATAACTGGCAGGAGAAGAGGTGGATTCATACCCCTTTCCCAATGGTATTTGTAAGTGAATATAATGAACCTGAATGGAATTTGGCTTTCCAATTTCTAATACTGAGCTGTTACCCATTACACAACCCCACACATCCAAGTTTACAGCACCTGGTATTCCCAATCAGTCACCCATCTAATTACTGACCATGCTAGACATTGCTTAATTTCAGTGATCATACAAGAATCAGTGTTTCAATGTGATATGGCTGTCAGGCTGAGATGGGAATGTATGCATAGTTTAACAGATCACAGGTTCCACATAAAGGTGAAAAGAGAATCCCAAGAAAACAAAGGTGCAAATACCAGACATAACATTTATGAGAGGTGTTGCACATGTACTCACAAAACAAGATTCTACAGCAGACGACCAAAAAAGGCCGAGGATATGTAACCAAAATGTGGAGAAAAAAAAATCTAAAAAAAACAGTAATGACAAAATTAGTCCAAATCAACCATATGAGGTCTGTCTGAAAAATAATGGGACTGGTTTTTCTTCTTCAACGTGAGAGGCCACAAGGCCAGACGATGAGTCAACAAGTCTACAAAGAGATCCTGTGGTGTTTGCCTCACTCAGTGCATGAGAAGAGATGAGAGTTGTGGGAAAACAAATCATAGCTGCTTCACCACAACAATTGAGCAATATACTGAGTATCCAGTAGTTTTTTTGTCAAGAAGAACAGCGGTGTACTGGAACAATCTCGTTATTCCCCTGATCTTGCTCAGTGTGACTTTTTCTTTCCCCAAGCACATGGATCATCAAAGGGACTCATTTGGAAGACATTGATGCCATGAAGAGGGTTGTAATGACGAGGCTGAGGGACATCCAAGAAGAATGCTTTCAGCAGTGCATAGAAGCATGGCAGAGAAGGATGGAAAAGGGCATTAGACTTAAGGAGGATTACTTTGAAGGGGAAACCATGTAGTTTGTTGTTGACTTTTTATTACAATAATACATGACTAAATCATTGTCTGTATTACAAAGGAATGCTGAAAAGTTCTCAGTTGGACAAAAAAATCACCAAGTGTTATTAAATGTACATACTATTCTACAAATTTACCACAATTAGTACATTGTTTCTGAAGTTTCAACTCTTAAAAAAAATTCTGATTTCAGTAAGTAGAGTGGGCTGAGAATTTTTCAGCACCCTCTCATACTAAAATATAGTAATCATTTTTTTTTACCTCTGCATAAATATTGATTCCATTTAGATACACCAACAAAGGAATCTAGAGTTAACTAATAAAAAAATAAAAAATAAAAACAATTTTCCAATCACTTACTGTTCTCGTTGGATCATTTCTACCAATAAGTTTTCAGCATTCTTGTACCAAACATAGTAAAATGTCATTGGTCCAAAATGGCGAGTTGAACGAAGGATATCAAAGGCATTTTTTTGTCTTATATGTTCATAAGTTCGATGTGTTACCTGAAGTAAAAAATGACAACTTTTTTACTTATACACAACAGAAAATTCATTTATTTTTCCATAACTTTATTTTCATGCATAATAAATGTTGTGTATGATACACCTAATTTACATAAGTGGAGTACCGACCATATAAATATGGGTTGGTACCGGAAGACAACGGAAGATTAAGAGATCGAATCCAGAGACTCTGCCCGACTCAAGACTTAGTCAACCCATTCTGCAGGAACAGTCTTCCCAAGAATATACCAAAACTACCTGTAAATATTGTGTACCTTTTTTCATTGTTTCAATACATTTTGTTACGTACATTTTGTGTTGTATTATTATTATTCCATGCTTATTCAAGCTTCAACAATAAAGTAGCATATTTTTTAACAAAATCTTTGGTTCATATCAATTCATAGCATAATTATTCAGCCATCAAAGTACCTTTCCCCATTTTTTTATGTCATCTTTCAGATAAACTGTATTTCATCATAGAACTACCAACTACAGTTTTAATTCAATGTATATTTTAAAGAATTTTTTTATTTTCAATTTGTCAGGACCACTGAGTAAATAAGGAATGATTCATGCAGGAAAAGAAGTGATAATCTGAAGGTAACAGGTCTGTAGAATACATTACATGCAGAAGAACTTCTCATCCCAACTCCATGATCATTTACTGTATCACATTTGCAGTAGATCCACTAGCTGACTTTCTTGCCTATATATATATATAAAAAACATATTTTCTACTAGCAGTATAACTCGTCTTCAACCGGGTGTTTCATTACTGGGAATTTTTGCCATTCAGTGAGAGCAGTTTAAGTTTAAAGTCACCCCACCTGAAAATCAATATAACAACATTTGGGCGCAACTGACGCACATCCCCAAATTTTTATTAACAATTTGAATGTGGCCTTGTAAAGGGCCGTTTTTGTGTTCTCAATCTTGCAAGGAAGGAACCTCTTCCATGGACCATCATAATAATATGATAATTTTTATTTATAATATAATTTTTTTTTAAAATTTCTAATAATCTTTTGCGTTAGATTTCAACTCTCTAAGTTGATTGTATGCCATTTTTTCCACACATTAAATTTTGCCTTTGTTTTTTGCGCAAAGTGTAAAAAATCAGTTTTTTCTATTTTTTCACCTACAGGGTTGTAATTTTTTCCAGCCAATTTGGACTCAAAACCAACACTGAAGAATTATCTATCAAACAAAAAAATTTCATCGAAATCAGATGAAAACTGTGGAAACGCATAAACAACATCCGATCACACACACACACACAATTTTGAGAATTATAGATTCCAATGTACCATTCAAATCAGCTTATACAGACTCCAACAATTTCTAATAACTGATGCATGTTGAAATCCTTACAGTATTTAGTATTGTTGAAGTTAATGCTTCCTCTGCCCATTTGAAACTCTCCCTATTGTGTTTATATTTACAGTGCCACTACTATGATTTATATTTTACTAGAATGAAATATATATAAATACTTAAAGAAAAGATAAGCAAAAAAACAATACTGCATTTTTATTAAATAAGTATTTGTTATTTTAATCATTATTTTTTTTTTAATAGTGGGAGTATTTTGTATGTTAAATAATAAAACTTTTAATTTTTCAAAAAAAATTAATGAAAATTTTTTTGTACTAAGCTATGCACACTCGTAAAACCCCAAAGGTAAGTGGTACAAAGTACCACTTACATGTGTGCACAAGTCCCCAAAATTTAGTTTTGATTAGTCAATGTGTGGATATTTTAGAGGATGTGATGGATGGATGGATGGATGGACAGAAGTCACAGAATTTTATATATAGATAGAAGAATTCCCTTTGAATTCCAATCAAATACAGAGAAGAACTTTTCCTTTCAGCAGACCCCTTTTTGGCTGAAATGTTGAAGGCTGCTCTTGGATCTAATGATGGTTTTAATCATTTTGGATTCTCATAATAAAATCTAATTTTCATCACAAGTTACAACCTTTTCCAAAAAAATAATTTTCTGTGTCAAGTAAAATGAGAAAGATGTTTAAATATTGAATAATATTTCTTTAAATTCACTTACAACCCATTTCCTTAGTTTACCTGAAAGCATCATGAAAATTCAGAAGGTGGAATTAATAAATAAACACTTCAGATACATCATGATACAGATCAGTTATAACATATTTAGTTAGCAGAAAAGGAAACTGAACATAGAATAGGTGGTACTAAGGGTACTTTTGTCTAACACCAAAAGATGCTACAAAACTATTAACTAAAAATCTCTATTTGCACAAATTATATTTGGACCATTGTCCTCATCTTTGTTGTTTTTATCACAACATTTCAGCCATTGTTCCCTCTGGCCATCCTCAGGTGTATATATAATCAGGATAACGTACAGAGAATTCCAAACTGAACCCTTTATTTAATCTATGGGGGTAGATTGTTCTCAATCCTCTGCTCATGTCTACAGATATAACCTAGTTCTTATTTTATTTAGTACTGTTCAGTTATTGAGGAAGGGTGTAGGGCACAATGGCTGGAATGTGATAAAAACAACAAAGATGAGGACAATAGTCAAAATATAAATAGTGTAAGTAATAACTCCTCCTCCTAGAAATTCAGCTTCTGGGTAATCTACAGGGAATTCCGAACTGAAACCTTTATTTAATCTATGGGAGTAGACTGTTCTCATTCCTCCGCTCATGACTCGATTTTATTTTATTTACCACTGTTCAGTTATTAAGGAAGCATGGAGAGCCCAAAGGTTGAAATGTAATAAAAACAACAAAATAAGGACAATAGCCTGAATATAAACAGTGTAAATAATAACTCCTCATCTCAGAAATTCCGACAAAAGGTAAAACCCTCTAGTCATGTTAAATAGCGTATCTTATAGATTTCATGCACGGCATCCAACTCATTCAGAAATGTCTAAACTATCAGCTATATACAACCAGTTTTCTGAAATCAATGATTAAAAATGGCTTCAAGTGAATAAATCCTGTAGGTCTTAGAGCTTCATTGAATCTCATAGGCTGGTGCTACAGAATCACAAAGAACTTTATCAACAGAAACCACATCATTGAAGACTTAAGGAAACTCCCATCAATACCAGAAAGAGCAATAACAGTTAGTGGACTTAAGAAACCTATTTTTCTGAAAGACTTCTATTAAGAGAAGCAATAAGCAATAAAGATCAAAGTCAAATTTAAGGACACTTCTAAAATATCTCTAACATTGCACAAAAAATGATGCTAGAAGCTTTTGCATTAATTTTTCTTATGAGTTTAGGCAATGTATAGGTTTTTTTGCTTAGAATTAAGTTCAGGGTTTACCAAGCTTAGCTTAGGCTGACACAAGGCCACAAATATGAGAGCACTACTCACAATTGGATTCATAATCATTACTCTATGACAAGGTGCTCAAGATTAGATTGTCAACAAGTTGTCAAATTTTCCCACCATTAAAGTTTCAAATCCAAAGAAGTTACAAAAAGAAACATGAAAAAAACCATGAAAAACAAATTAACAACACATGCAAAACATTCAAGCTAAAAGGAAAATATCTTTTAAAAATATAAAATGTAAAAACAAAGCAAAAAATGAAATGAAAACACCTAGATTGTTTCTTTTAAAAAGTAAGAAACTTACCCGAATATAATCTGGGTGGTCAGGTTCAAACTGGATACAAGCACGATCAAGGATATATTTGTAGGACCCTTTTTCAAGTAATTTCTGAGAAGAGAAAAAAAAGATAATTAGACAAATATAGACAAACATGCCCGCAATAAAATGTAGTGTTAAAAGGACAGTTTTTTAACCACCTTCACTCTTCAGCAAGGTTTTTTAAAAAGCAATGATTAATATTATAATAAAACCCCAAACATATGATGAAAGAGAATTTATTTTTTTTTGTTCTTGAGACTTTAAAATATTAAACACTATTTATTAGATTGTTTATTTACAAGAATAATTTTATATTTACAACCTTGTAAAAACTAATACAATTAAAACTAATGCAATGGAACATTTATCATTTACCAATTTATAAAGAAATAAATGTGAAAACAATTTTTTATTCATAAATTCATAAACATTTACTAAATTATTAAAACATTTGAACCAACTATAAGGAAATTTTTATTATTTACTATTTTATAAAATTTGAATCAATTTGGCAATTAGGTGATATTTTGCCAACCATTCCAATAAAACAATATAATAAATAGTGTAAAAAAAAAAAAAACAATCTAATAAATAAATAGTACATTATTTACATTGTCCACATCTTCTTTGACATATTCACAACATTTCAGCCCAGTGTTGTACCTCCATTGTGAAAAGATTTGAAATTGACAACTTTTTCCATTTCACTGAAATGGACATTAAACATTTCTATCTTCCCTTCTTTTTTCTTTCTTTTTCTCACTGAAACCCAGTAGCATCTCTATCTATAAAAGGCAGGATGTGTGTGTGTGTGTGTGTGTGTGTGTAATGAATGCACGGCCGCAATTTTCGAAGGATTTGCACCAAAATTTACATGCACCTGCTCCAAGTTAGCGAGAAGGCCAAGACCAACTTTGCATTTCCCAACTCCCATTGATAGTGGAAATAATCGATTTTTTCATGCTTCTACAGCAGTTTTCATGTAGTTTGCAGCCATTTTGTACTGGCCAGAGAGAGCCAATAGCTGGCTGCCACGAATAGGCAGGAAGATTCTATTGGCCAGCATGAGAGCCTACAGCTGACTCACATGAATGTTAACTAGCATGCAAAAAAAATCGATAGCTGTATTCGTCACAAGTGGAAAACATTTAAATCTGCATGGCACTTTACTCCTATTGGCTCATTCACTTGCTTAAACTCAACGTTGATTCTGATTCCGCAGAACTGGGTTGGGTGTAAAAAAAGTATTTGTTGTTAACATTCTTTTTTCATTCGGTTTTTCCAGTTACGAGTCCTTTTTTAAAGCTGATCATTTTGTGTTCATTTTGTTTAGTTCTTTTTTCATAACAGATTTAATGTTTAGTATAGAGCTTAGAAGAAATTTGCAGTGTGAGATAGGCAAGAAGTAAGGCATGTAGCAACATCAGCACGGCAAAGGGCACTGCTTTAAAGGCAAGGAAGGGCAAAAATATTTTAAGTCAAGTGATAGCAATTGCTGTATGAGTCATACAATTTTTGAATCAAGCACGGGCAACACCGGGCCATGCTGCTAGTCTGTGATATGTCTTTTCCATCTTTCCATGTGATCAAAACAGAATTGTCTGCTATTTATGAGGTATTGGCAGGAAACATTAAACACATCTATTTCCATTCTTTCTTTTATTTTCTTATTAAAACCCAGTAGCATCTGTGATATGTCTTTTCTATCTTCCCATAAATTCAAAGAAGAATAGTTAATTATTTATGAAATCAAGATTTCAGAACTGGTTTAACTTTGTCCTAACTCTTGTCAAGTTAATCAAAACTTGCACATATAATCATTTGTCTTAAAATGATCAGTTCTGAATGGTTGTTTTTTTTTTCAGTCACTTTTTGCTAGGAAAGTCATAGGAATCTTGTTGAAATGAATGTTATAAGTGATAGACAGGTTTGACTTGATAATCTTTTTTTGAAAATGACTTATATCAAGAGGATTTGGGGTCCTTACAACACAAAATTCAGTCATATTAGCACAATTCTTTGCCTATTTGCCTGATCTTTTGTCATTGACCCACAAACCAAAAGTTCCCAAACAATTTAAATCTACAAAATGTAAGAAAATTGTTCTTGGGAAGATATTTAAAATATACTTTGTTCCTTTCATATATTAAATTGATCATTACCCACTTTTGGCACTAACTAACTGGTACTAAATATTGGTTTTTGACATAACTTTCTTTGTATTTATCAGAAAATCATGATCTAAACCTCTATTCCAATGTTTTTGTGGCACTGAGTCCATTTTGGACACTGAAAAGTAATTGAAATGAGTTAAATTCAAAATTTATACTCTTTTTCGGGAATTTGAGGCTTTTCACTTAGGTACATATATTTTTTTATTAGAAATATGAAAGTTTTGTTTTAACCTTTAACCTTTTTAAGAAAAAATAGGCTAAATGCAAAATCTTGGCCCTTAATGGCTGACCAGAGTTTCTAGATCCAAATTCCTATTTATTTTATTAGAAATGTGAAAAGTTTGTTTTAATCTTCCTATTTAGTACCTGTCCTGGTTATGAACATAAACTACACCCAGCTGCATGGCATCTGATCAGGAGCTTTTGAGGAATATGGAATGACCTCTTAATTGCTGTTGTTCCCAGGTATATTCAAGGTGATAGGACCTGGTAGGGTCCCAGTTATGGGCAAATAGTGAATCCCCAAACTGGGGTCAAAACATGAAAATATAAAAATACATTAGAAAAAAATTACCAGCAATACATTTTTAGGAAAAAAAAAGAAATTACCAAAGCTCTGAAGAAAATTAAATTTCAGCATTAAATGAAGCAAAAGAAGTTGATATGCTGTTAAACAAACCAACTAAATATTAAGTACAAATACAATAGCAGTTCTATAATTGAGTTAAAAATCATTTGAGTGCTCAAAAAACCACAAGTGCTCACTTGGCTCTATTGTGCGGGTTGACTCTGCTTTCAAAGTAGGTTCTTTTTTTTAAAATTATTAATGCCATAAATATAGATACTTCAAACTATCTTTAAGAAAAATCACTACAAATAGTTTAGTTGCTTTACATGATATTCAATCTTCAGAATTGCAGAAGCTTATCTATTTCTTTGCTATCTTTTGGGGTTTTTTTTTGGGTGGTGAGTGTCTGCATTTGTCTGCATTGAAATTAAATAGTTTGAATATTACTATTGTTGGAGATTAATTTATCTGAAAAATATAGGACCTAAATTTGTATCAAAAGCTGAGCAGATTAAACATATGTTGGTTTCATAGAATAATAGATTAATAGCAATCATTTTTTTTTATGTATATGTTTCTAATTCAAAGGAAACTATCAGCAAATAGTGAAAATTATTAATATAACAAAAATATTTAAGTTGAGAGAGTTTAAGTATAACGGATAAAATGTTTATTATTTTACCTCTAAAAATTCTTCTTCAAACATTTTTGGGGCAAACACTTTCCTTCCTTCCATTGGAAAATAAATCTGTAGAAATCTGCATCTTTCATTCAAGGAAGCATGGCGTAATTTTCCATCAGGTTCTCGGACAACAATTAACCTTTTCTGAAAAGATAACATATTTTAAAAAATAATCAACAAAAAAATCAGAATATTTAAATTATTTATATTTATAATTCAATTATTTATATTTATAAAGCAATTTTCTTTATGACATTTTAAATCACTGGTCTTAACCTTTTCAAATTTTAATTTCAAGTAGAAAAATAGACATTTTGCTTTCAGTTATTTTGCTGCACAAATCCGGCAGTGTAAAGTCGAAATGTTCTTGATTAAGATTAAGAAGATATGGGTTTGTACTTTGTGCGATGGATAAATTGCTGCCTAAATTATACAAAAATGAAAATAACACTGACATCTTATTTTAACGGATATATTTACCAAAATTGCACAAAAATATCTTGAAATACTTAAGAGTAAATCTACTCAATAAAACCGCCATTGGCTTAAACCATAGCCTCTAGATGACTCCGGAATCTCCTGCAGCTCTTCTGGACAGTATCTTTGTTTAAGTTGGTGAATGCTGTCATAATCCTTGCCTCCAGTTCATCTTTGGTGTTACAAGGAGTTTTGATGATGGTATCTCGCTCAACTGTGCCCCACACATAATATTCAAGGTGGTTGCAGTCTTGGGAGTTAGATGTAAGGGGTGATGTGGTCACAAAAATTGTCTTACAGCCAGGACTGAGTTCTCCTGCTTGTGTGGCATAGTGCAGAGTCCTGTTGCCAGACAAAATCTTCCAGCAGTCACCCTCTTGACCCAGGGCAGCACTACCTTCTCAAGGCACTTGATGTAGGCCTCGATGTTGAGTTTGAGGCCCTGTGGGAAGATGAATGTAGGCATAATATCACCATCACTAGTAATCACTCCAAAAACCTTCGTAATCACCATTAGATTCATCCATCTCTTTCCAAATCCTCTGCACTGTCCTCAGATTGACACTCAAACACTCTGAAATGTTCGCATTGGAGTTTTTGGTATGAATGCCAAGCAGTACAGCATACTGTTTCCAACTTTCTGGCAGAATGAATTGCATCATAATGCTCTTTTTTTCACACATAGTAACCAAATGACCCTATTATAATGTGAAGTTGACAAAATCAAAAACAAACAATATGCATGTGCGAAACTAAAAATATAAAATGACGACAATTTATCCATCGCACCCTGTATTTATCAAGGCCTCAATAAGAGATCATGGATTTGAAATGTATTTATGAAGACTTCAATAAGAGATGATTATTATCATATTAATAGGAGTGACTAAAAGTTATTTCTTTCTTTTAATGTTAGCATATTTAAAAATAGGTTATGTTAGTGAGTTTAATGACATTTCAACCCTCGTTAATGTTGAATATGTCTCACAAAATAATAATCAGAATGAATCATCAAAAACTGTCAGCCTGCACCAGAGTCAAAAATTGGTAAGACTATCAATAATTTATTAATGATGAGAATATATAAACTTTGCAATCACCATTCTCATGCAGTTCAATTGACAGTAAATTCTTTTCTTTCCATCAGACATTGAGAGATACCTAATGACTGAAATTTGTCCCAGTTTGTCCCATGCTGCCAAGTATAAAATGGTATGTGTATGCCAATGCGAACAAGGCTTTTGATTAAAGGCAGCCACACAAAAACCCTCTTTGTTAAACAAAGAATTTCCTGTTAGCATTACATGTGACCTATCCTTCTAAAGTACTGAAGACAAGACATTTTAGTATTCTTTCTATGCACATTTGCTAGTCAGGTTTTTAAAAAAACATTTCCAAATTCCATCTGAGTTTTTATAGAATTTTGGCAAGTACTCAAAATATCACATTATCATGACTTCCTCCAGGGCTGTGGGCCTGGACTGGAAGTTTCAATTATACCGGATTTTAGGTTCAAATCATCACGATGCCTTCCTCAGAAGTATTTTATAGGTTCAAATTAATATTTTTAAACCAAACATTTTAATCAGGTTCCAACCTGATTAACCACTCTCCCATATTTTTCTCCATTTAATATTTCTACTCCATTGCTCAGGATGACTAAATCTCTCAAGTTGCCAAGCAATATTTCATGCACTAATATGACTCAGACAAGGCCACTGCCTGTTACTAAAAAAGCAGAGACACAGAAAGAGAGACAAAAAAGCAGAGAGACAAAAAAAAAGAGAGACAGAAAGAGAGACAAAAAAAGCAGAGAGAAAAAAAGAGAGAGAAAGAGACAAAAAAAGCAGAAAAGAGAGAAGAGAGACAGAAAGAGAGACAAAAAAAAGCAGAGAGACAGAAAGAGAGACAAAAAAAGCAGAGAGACAAAAAAAAAAGAGAGACAGAAAGAGAGACAAAAAAAAGCAGAGAGACAGAAAGAGAGACAAAAAAAAGCAGAGAGACAGAAAGAGAGACAAAAAAAAGCAGAGAGAGACACAGAGAGAAAAAAAAAAGAGAGACAAAAAAAGCAGAGAGACAGAAACAGAGAGACAAAAAAGAGACAGAGAGACAAAAAAAAGAGAAAGAGAGACAAAAAGAGACAGAAAGAGACAAAAAGAGAGACAAAAAAAAAAAGAGAGAGAAAGAGAGACAAAAAAAAGCAGAGAGAGAGAACAGAGAGACAAAAAAGCAGAGAGAAAGAGAGACAAAAAAGAAAAGAGAGAGAAAAAGAGACAAAAAAGAAGCAGAGACAGAAAGAGACAGACAAGAAGAGAGAAAAAAAGCAGCAGAGAGACAGAAAGACAGAAAGAGACAAAAAAAGCAGAGAGAGACAGAAAGAGACAAAAAAAGCAGAGAAAGAGAGACAAAAAAAAGAGAGACAAAAAAAGCAAAGACAGAGACAAAAAAAGCAGAGAGACAGAGAGACAGAAAGAGAGACAAAAAAGAGACAGAGAGACAGAAAGACAGAAAGAGACAAAAAAAGCAGAGAGAAAAAAGACAGAGAGAGAAAAAAAGAGAGAGACAGAAAAGAAGAGAAAACAAAAAAAAAGAGAAAAAAAGAGACAAAAAAAAGCAGAGACAGACAAAAAAAAAGCAGAGAGACAGAAAGAGAGACAAAAAAAGAGAGACAGAAAAAAAAAAAGCAGAGAGACAGAAAAAGAGAGAGAGACAAAAAAAAAAAAAAAAGCAGAGAGACAGAAAGAGAGAAAAAGAGAGACAAAAAAAAAGCAGAGAGAAAAAAAAGCAGAGAGACAGAAAGAGAGACAGAAAGAGAGGCAAAAAAAAAAGCAGCAGAGAGACAGAAAGAGAGACAAAAAGCAGGAGAAAAAAAAAAAAAGCAGAGAGACAGAAGAGAAAGAGACAAAAAAGCAGAGAGACAGAGAGAAAAAAGAGAGACAGACAAAAAAGCAGAGAGAGAAGAGAGACAGAAAGAGAGACAAAACAGAGAGACAGAAAGAGAGACAAAAAAGCAGAGAGACAGAAAGAGAGACAAAAAAAGCAGAGAGACAGAAAGAGAGACAAAAAAAGCAGAGAGACAGAAAGAGAGACAAAAAAAGCAGAAGAGAGAAACAGAAAAAAAAGAGAGAAAAAAGCAAAAAAGCAGAGACAGAAAGAGAGACAGAAAGAGAGACAAAAAAGCAGAGAGACAGAAAAAAAGCAGAGACAGAAAGAGACAAAAAAAAAGCAGAGAGACAGACAGAGACAGAAAGAGAGAAAAAAAAAAAGCAAAAAAGAGAGACAGAGACAAAAAAAAAGAGAGACAAAAAAAGCAGAGAGACAGAAAGAGAGACAAAAAAAAGCAGAGAGACAGAAAGAGAGACAAAAAAAGCAGAGAGACAGAAAGAGAGACAAAAAAAAGCAGAGAGACAGAAAGAGAGACAAAAAAAGCAGAGAGACAGAAAGAGAGAAGAGAGAAAAAAGACAAAAAGCAGAGACAGAAAGAGAGAAAAAAAGCAGCAGAGAGACAGAAAGAGAGAGACAAAAAGCAGAGAGACAAAAAAGCAGAAAGAGAGACAAAGAGAGACAAAAAAAGCACAAAGAGATGGAGAGACAAAAAGAGACAAAAAAAGCGTGATGGAAGACAAAAAAAAGCAGAGAGACTGAAGCTGAAATGTCAAAAAAAGCAGAGAGACAGAAAGAGACAGGACCAATAACATTGCACATTCTTTTTTGTATTTTATCAAAATCTCTAAATATTAAGAGCACCAGATAGGTTCACATATCATCTATTTCACACTCCTCCCTGCTATTTTGAACAAGAGCAGAGGTTTATCCCTTGTTTCCTGTTTAAGATTAAGTTTTGGTTTCCTTCCAAAGTCTACTGCCATTACTTCTAATGCCTCTGACCAAACTCTGAAATGTTATTCACTAATTAAATCTTGACCTCTTCAAGTCTAGAGTTAACTGTTACCTTTCCTGCATGGCTCCAAGACTTCTTGTCTTTTCTCGCATGAATACAACCCTACACAGTAACCCTCTACCTTAAGTGGCTCTTGAACCTTGTATTGAAGGAACATTAGATTAAAAAAAAAAAGACCAAATGTGGCAACAATATTCAAAGCATGGGCAAATGGTAGATTTATAAACATGATTCTGATAAGAAAATTGTTTAGCATGACACAATGAACCAAATTTCCTAGCAATAGACCTAGCAGTTGATTAAATATAATCTTTCTACTGCATGTCATGAGAAAAGGTTAGTTCAAGAAGGTGCAATGAGTCACTATCTTAGAGGTTAGCATGATGGAAGGTAAAAAAGGTTCTCTCAGACTCTAGTATTGCAACTTGAACCAAGCACCACGTTCATTACCAGGATGCAGCTTTTTCCAGTCAAACACTTGTGGCTTAATACATGGAAAATAACTCTTTGGCCAGATTGTTACCCATGAAATAAAAGATGTGATTGTAGCAGTTGGTAAATTTTATTTTCTTGCAACCTTCTCATAAGGGCTGGCTGTGGACAAGCAAGGTAGAATGAGGAGAGGTAAGTGGGTGAATGGCCTAAACAGCATGTGCCTTCCTATCATGTCACGGGAAAATAATCCTCTGTTTGAGGCTGCTAGGAACCATTGTCTTATAGAGAATAAATGTTCTTTGTCCTGTCAGTTTTCATCTAAATGAGTCAGTCATCAATATTTCTAACCATTGCAATTTCTCATTATTTTTAAGAATGTCAACCTTTCTGACTATTGCAAACCAGATCTCCACCTACCTTCAATTTGGAGCAAAAAAAAAAAAATACCTACCAGGAATCAAGAAATGGAGTGAATGAGCTGAGAAACTGAATTGTAGGGTGAGGGATTAAATAGTGGTTGTGGCAAGCACAACTTATGGGATTGTGGGTAAGGATGATCATGAAGGAAAAATCAAAGCAAGGTCTTTTCCTTATGAATGTTAGTATTCATACAAGTAGGAAAACGTAGAGAAGGAAATCAGACAGATGATAAGATGGAAATTTGTCATGTCCCCATTGGGACCAAAGTCAAGAGAATACCAAGTGAGTCTTAGCTTTACTCTTCTACCCCCAAACTAAACTACCTTTTTGATTCTAATGCAAACCAACCTACACCTACATTAATCTACTGTAGATCAAACCTATGCTTACATATTAATTCATTGTAATTTTTGTCTTTTAAAATTTATCTTCAACATTAAATAACTCAACAAGAGTTGATATGCTCCTAAATTGATCAACCTGACATATTTTTAAGTTACCCGTTTGGGACAATGGGAAAAGAAAGTTAGCTTAAAGGATGTGTACAGCAGGTACTATAGGTTTGAGTTCTATCCCAGGTTGCTTCTCAGGTATATTCATTCCTATGTTTTATTGTAATTAAAAAGAGTTTTGCAACGATTAACCAAAGTAATTTCCGTGGTGTCAATAACTGAAAACAAACTGTAACAAGCATGCGCGGAAACGTCCTCGAACTGCGTGTGTGTGTTGTCGCCAGGCACACCTTCGAGTACCATAATGGACTCGACCGAGGACTACAAGAAGAAGAAGACACGCGAGTTGTTTGGTGTCTTTTCTTGGGCAACACAAGCCGTTGCGGTCGGTCATCCGTTGGCAGCAGTCTTGGGTGCCGTTTTGCTCGTTTGCTGTTGTAAAGTGTTCGTTCACAAGAAGGCGTTCGTTTTTGTGTCACATTCATTTCAGGTTCGCAAGAAGGCATTCGTTTTTGTGTCGCAAGAAGGCGTTCGTTTTTGTGTCGCAATAGGCGTTCGTTTTTGTGCCGCAAGAAGTTGTTTTTTTCCCCCCGTTTTCTCGCACACAAACTATATTCTTACCTTGTGAGGAATGTCCAAGGAGATATCAGTAAAAACAAATTTACATTTATTTAACTGATCCAAATTGGGATTATCAGAGATCAAATCTGGCTTCAGCTGGGAAGCCTTCATCACGGGAGGCATCTGCAATTTAGCTTTGCCCTTCTCAATTGCTGCCGCTTGTTCCTAGAAATGAAAAAGACAAAAATTACTCAATGAATGAAAGTAAGGGTTTTTGCATTTATTTTTTTTAAAGATTAACAGGTCTTTCTATGCTTTCCTATGTTTGTATGCATTCACAATTAGCATGCATTTGGGCACCTCAACATGGTATAATGGTTAGCAAGTTTGTCTTACAACTGAATAGTGAGTTCAATCCTCCCTGGGTGACTCATAATTTTGACCATCCTGGGTATGAAAATAAACTACATATGCATTCTGAGTAAGATGATAAACTATGTCCAACAGCAAGGCCTCTGATCAGGAGGTTTCAAGGAGCATGGAACCACCTCTTAATTGCTGATGTTTCCAGGTCCACCCTAACCAAGGGTGGTAGCACCTGTTAGGGTCCCAGCTATGGACAAATAGTTAACCCCCAAACTGGGGTCAAAACACTATAAAAGTGTAAAAATAGGTTTTAATACTAGAAATACTTTGTAAAAAATTATTACCAGCAATACATTATTATAAATAACTATACATTTAAAAAAAAAAATATATATATATATATATATATTACCAGCAATAAAAATCTTGTTGGCATTAAATAACCCATTGAGGTTGACATCCCGTAAAACAAAACAAAACAAAAAAAAAACATACTTTCGGATTTGTGACACATCTAAGCTACACTAAGAAGACCATAACTAGCATGCATTTTGCAGCTAATGCTCAAATGTGTGCACAAAAGGTTGAGTTGGTTGATTTTCCTCCTCATCAGTGTTAAAGTGGCCTGTCAAGGATTCACCAAGCAAATGAATGCACACTTACTGGAAGAAATACCATGGGATTATATTGAGCTCCAAGGCAAACAGAACACATTACAAAGATGAGGTGAGACAGACCAATCCAATATCATCAACAACAACAAAGCATTAGTTTCTATTAGCTGGTGGTTGTGAGTTCAAATCATGTGCTGGGCAATACATAAGTATATAAAACAATAACAATCAGTATCATTATTGTGTGGTCACAAGGTCACTGTACAGCTGAGTATCTGACCAGCTCCCTCCATATGCCCCAGTTGCATGTCAGTGATTTTGTTACACCATTTTATTTTTTTTGTTTATCACTAACAGTGTTACTTGTATAATAGCAGTGGGAAGATTATTGGCTCTAAAACAGTAAGGATACATTATAAGAGCCAACAATCTTTTCACTGGTTGATTTTACAACACATCAAATCTTGACTTGCAAATCATTTTTGGATTATGCAAAATGGGTATTCTTTACTACCATGGAAAGTCCCCATATAATGATATTGGTCATTGAATCAAAAGGTACATGGCAAAAAGGAGCTTGCAGTAGTCATAGAATAATCAATTTCATGATTACAAGGCAATGCTTACACATTGTAATGAGGAAATGAAGTGAGCACAGATGTCAGAAGTACAGATAAAGCTTCAAGAACATTATGACCAGGGTCAAGCTACATCAGGCACAAGAAGCAGCCACCATTTTATCCAAAAATCAACACCAACCATTGCTTTCAAGCTTACAAATGAGAATACCGCATTTGTCGATATTTTTGATTTTGATGGTCTCTGCTTTCATGGAGATCAGTGACCCAAGACTGCCAATTCATATCGGTGGATTGGTATGGTTTTTGTGGCTCAGAATGGTGATGTCAAGATTGAAATTTTACATCCACACAAAGTAAATCATTCCATTGGCCAGCTGGAGGGGGATTCATTCTTTAAGAAATTGTAGGATATTATATGGATTAGTGCTATGAAAGAGTTCTTTCATGTTGGTTGTTTGGTTGGTGGATTTTGTTTAGTGGCATATCAACACCTCTATGGGTTATTTAATGCTGAAATCTAAATAATCTGAATACTATTTTATGGCTTTAGTTAAATATATTTTGAATGTAATTGTATACACATAAATTATCATATTTTGAGATTTAAAATTACAGGTATCCATGTATACTATTTATACAGCAATTATGTTAGGGTTGTATAATTTATACCATAATTAGGGCTTTTGTTGTAATATTAATATTGTCAAAACATGATAGATCTTGTGTATTCTCTTTATTAATATCTTTAACAATTTTGGCTTATTTCATGCCTTTGGGACAAAAGTACTTCAATTATGCTGATTCCTAAAGGAATAAATATTGCCGACATATCAAATACCACTTGTAAACAATTTTCACCAACACTTGTCTACTTTGTGCTGTGTATATTAGCAATCTTGCTGTTTCAAATTAGAGTTTTTTTAAATTGGTTAAACATGTACTTGTGTATAATACAACCCCCACATTTTTGCATTAAATTTTTGTTCAAAATTTCTCATATTATGCACAAGAGAATGCAGTAAGAATATCCATATCTTTTGCATATACACATATATCTGCATACCTTTTCAAGTTGTTCTGTGGTCAGCAATTTGTATCTTGGTTTTTGCAATGGAACTTTTTTTGGTCTAAAAATTTTAGCTAAGTCAAATCCCGTAATTCTTTCAAGTAATGTCTGAACTTTTTTGTCCAAGAATATTGGTAATGGATCTCTGGAAGCTCTTTCATGATTGCCTTTATCCAAAGACGTGGAAGAAGAGGAACCTGAAATCAAAACACAAAAGTATTACAAAAAAAAAAAAAAAATCAAATATCCAAATACCTTCAATGGAACAAATTAAAAATAAAAATACTCATAAAGCAATTGCTATTATTAGTCGGGTGATTGATTCATTTTCTACAGCTTATCAACCCTTTACAGGTTACTTAAAGCCAGAAAATATTTTTAGATTGTAAGAATTATTCTTGCAATAATAATGATTTTAGTGACACAAGTCTTACTAATTAACCCATAGCTGGGGAGAGAAAAGGTAAATTCCTACCTTTCCCAAGGGTATTTGTGCATAAATAAATATAACCCAATGGGAATTGAAACTCAGCTCTGATTAACAATTCCAAGCCATTATCCATTACACCACTCACACATCCAACCTTGCAGCACTTAGTATACCCAAGTCGTCACCGATATAGGTACTGACCAGACACAAAGTTGCTTAACTGTAGTGTTCAAATAGGAACTGGTATTTCAACGTGATGTGACCGTAAGATGTTATTAATTGGGATTGTGCAATGTGCATAGCTCAAATGATTAATCTAAACAAAAGGGTACTGGAAAGTTCTCAGCCTAAGAAACCCTTAAAAAATAAATGTGATCAAATTTTTGGAATCATCCACCTCATAATTATATATTTTTTTTTTAAACATTCACTGAGAGTGAAGGCAGGGGTGCCACTAGAATGCAAGGGGGTTACAGAGAATTGAGAACAAAAGTAAAGAGGTGTGGTTGAGGAAAGGATACAGAGAAGGATGGGGAACAAGATCAAGGTATCAGATGTTGATTGACATTACACTTGAATATTTGAAGATTATAGATATTAGAGAAGCAAGCAAGGGGAAGGGAGATCCACATATGGGAAGTGTGAGAGAAGCTGTTTAAGTAGAAGAGATGGCTACATTTAACTGTTTTGACAGTGAAAGAGTATGACTGAGATGCCAGCCTAGTAGCTCACTTAAATTCATGCAATCTGGGAACCAATGAAAGTAGCTTGTCAGAACAGTTGCCATGAAAATATTTGTAGAAGAGACAGATGGAAGCCATGGCACATTGACCTTATAATATTCAGACATTTTAAAATTTTGACACAAGGTATATTTTTATTTTAAACATTTAGTAATTTTAAAAATAAACCATAAATAATCCTAATCCAAAATGGGTGTCTTTGGTAAAATCAAAATAAGCATACAAAAAAAATGATGATCTAATAAACAGATTTTCTATTTCTTTTAAGATATAGAAACATTACAGTTTCCCAAACAAATAATACTAAATGTATAAAGAGTCTGGTCAAGGTTATCCCAGATATAATTGTGATAACCTTCAATCTGACACAGTAATCTTATGTAGTAGGTCATATAAAATACAATGGGCAAACCTGGACCTCATCAGGTGCTTGTTGATCCAGGTAACCTATCAGGGAATTTCAAACTGAACCCTACAAGGATAAATTGTCCTCATTCCACTGACCACGAGCAGTACTAAAAAGAACTAGACGAGATATTCCTAGACATGGTCAGCAGAACAAAAACAAAGATTAAATAATGTGTTCAGTTCAAAATTTCCTGAAGGTAATCCAGAGTGACAAGCAGAAGGGGAGAAGACACAACAGCCAAAACATTGATAATAACATTAACAATAAAAAAGTAAATAATATAAATAATTACCGATAGATAGAAAGCATATATTTAGACTATAGAATCATGCTATGTACTGCATCATTTCAAAGCATGGGTGATCATGTCTCTCCACAATTTCCTGTCTTTTAGTGTTCTCAGCAATATTTGCTCCTTTATGAACATTCATTGTCAAATCTATTGTACAATCATGCTGTTGTAAATTATATTAGCTTCATTGATCCAAATGATGCCTCAGGGAATACAAACACCATCAACTTGTAAAATATTAAATCTAACTACTGAAACAATGTAAGACATTTTGAATGGTCATCAACCATCAGGTATGTATTAAATTTAAAAATGACAGCTCCAATAGAGGAGGTTACCTAGAAGATACTGAAGACCTTAGCAGATGAACTAAAATGAAAAGTAAGACAAGCACTACCAAAAGCCAGGTTGCCCAAATCAAACATCACAAAGAACGAAAAGTTGGACATCAAGACCCTCTTGAGAAACACTAGTACAGTGTAACCCGGATATAAGAGAGTTGTCGGGACCGGAGAAGAAGTCTCTTATATCCGGGTTTCTCTTATATCCAGGTTTGGTCTATTTTGTTTAGGTAAGTATGGGAACACTTTGGGACCAAAGAAAATCTCTCTTATATCCGGGTTACACTGTATCATCATATCATTCATTGGCAAAAGCTACAGTACTGATGGACATTGAATTATTGCTAGAAATTAGCAAGATGGGAATTCTAGTTCTAGACTTCTTTGGGGGAGGGAGATTTTCAGTGTCAAAAATAGATTCAGCACCAGAGGAAAATATTGGAATACAGGTTTAGATCATGATTTTCTGATAAATACAAGAAAAGTTGTCAAAAACTGACCTTTGGTACCTGTTTAGATGCTGCCAAAAGTGGGTAATGATCAATTTAATTAATATCTAAAAGGAACAGAGTATGTTTTAAATAACTTCCCAAGAACAATTTCTTATATTTTTCTGACTTAAATTATGTTAATATTTAAAAAGAGAAAAAAAAGATTTTTCTGATATTTTTTTGTTAACGTTATTCAGATTTCGAGGATCAGAAACAAAAAAGCAGGAAAAATACGGCAAAAATAAAGCAGAATTTAATTTTCGTGCTGCAGGGCTCCAAAATCCACTTGATAAAGAATAAAGAAAGATCATTGTTTTAAAATGTTTGTCATAACTGAACATTCATTTCAACAAGATTCCAATGACTTTCCTAGAAAAAAAGGGGACAGAAAAAGCAAATATTCAGAACTGATCATCTAAAAATAAATTAGTAAAACATGTGCAAGTTCTGATTAACTTCAAACAATCATAACTAAACAAATTAGTAGAGAGTTAGGACTAAAAAAATGTAGTCTCGTTTCGAAATCTCGAGACTGTCTACTCTACTTTCAGACGAAAGATAGCACATATCATTTTGGAAATGTTCCAAAAATGCCAAATGTCCCTTTGCGAGACCACCGTGTTAAATTTCTGGGATAAATGGGCCTGGGGAATTTAACACATACAAGACATATTGACAAGAGAAAGAAGGGTAAACAGTGAGTAACATACTTACTTAACTTAACGACTTTTTAACAGAAAGCGAAAGACGACCGCCTTACTATTTAAAAAAAATCATCATGTGGTGTAATTATTAGAATCATTATAATAAGGAAACATAAATTAAGAAAAAAATTAATCACTCTTTACTAAGCAATGAGCCAATATCTTAAAAAATATATAATATGCGTATTATGAGTTTTAATGGTCGAAACATCTTCAACTTGCCTCATAAATTTCCTTCGAATTTGAAGGTAGGATAAGTCATGCTCATGCATATTCAGAAATAAAAAAACAAAAACAAATTTATTCTCCGTGAATACAGTATTCACGGGGATTAGGTTATATTTCAGTTTTTAATTAAGGAAGCAGATAGCTGAAATAAATAAATCATATTGCATTTCGTTTTATGAGTGGCTTTTTTTTAACTAAATGAAAACAGGACTCAGAATATGTATTGCAAAGTTAAAAAAAAAAAAAAGAAAATATAAGAGAGGTAATTCAGTATTTGATGCGCGAAAATTTAGAGCGTTAAAAAAAACAATATTTTTCTTTTGATTACTATTTAGTTTCTGTGTATAAGGAAAAAAACAAACAAAAGAAACAAGAGATTTCGGTAAAAGTCTAGAATCGGGGCCATAATTCGGAAGCACAAAAATTAAAGTAATTTTGGTTCAAATGGCTCTTCGGATGAATTTAAAGATAAAAAAAAAAGAATATTTATTTACTAGGGTACAATCAAAAAAATTATAATAATTCATGAAAATAATTTTGTTGATTTTTTTTTTTTTTTTTCACATGAATCTTTTTTCATACTGGACTGAAACAATAGAATTAGATTAGTAGCTTCATCTAAAAAGCGTTTTCTCAAAGAAAAAGAAACCAACAAGCTAACTAACAAGCATCTTGGCCGCACGAATGGGAATATATATCTGAATATATTTCGAAAAAAAAATAAAAATAAAAAAATAATAATTTATTTGAAAATAAAAACAATGAATAAAACTTTTATTCATTGTTTTTATTTTTAAATAAATTTAATTTTTTTTTTTTTTTATTAAAACCAAACGATATAAATTTTATTTTAACTTGCGAATTGTGGCCCGTTTTATGGCCCCCGATTCTAGACTTTTACCGAAAAAAACAAAACAAAAAGAAACGAAAGAGATTTCTGCTGGAATTCATTAACATTTTTCCACAATTACAAAGTTACTTAATCTCTTGCAATTTAAGGGAAACATTTATTTCAATTTTAAAAAAAACTTATTTAAGGAATTCGTCTTTACTTTTTAAGTCTAAAAAGACATTCATAATTGATAGGACTTTGGAATAAAAAGAATTTAATAAAGCCAAGTAGTTTTTCACTAAGCTTAACTTAGATTGACAAAACCGCAAATATAGGCACCCGGTGAGGATCGAACTTGTTGCTCAGTAATCATTTCAGACTAGCGCTTGATTACGGACCGCAAGGCGAACAACGTTACAATAATTTAAATTTTATGAATAATTTCTGCTTTAATCAATAAACATTTTCTAATACAGTGACATTTACGAGATTCAGAACCTAAAAATAATTTTTTCTTCACATTATTAGTGTAAGTCAAAAGTGTCAATAAGATTTTCTTTTCGTCTTAAAAGACAAACGAAATTTTTGCATTTCCGAGTTAGCATAAAAGAAATGGGCCTATTTTCCAGTGGTATTTTGAAGTTATTGTGCTTCGTACCTTCTGTTGAACATCGGGCAATATTTAACACCCGAGGAAGTCCGTGAAATAACGTCCGTCGAGATAACAAATATTGACATTGCCGAAAAACGGCAGTTTTGATGATGGAGGCAGCCATTTTGTAATAGGTTAGAATTATACAAAATACAGAAATCAATAGAACCGAAAAACGAAAATCATTTATTTATGATTTTTTTTATTTAAAAGAATGTTTTTTATAATATAAGGATCTCACAAGATATACACTGCAAACTATAATTATTTTTAATTTTAATCAAATTAAATTTCAGAATAAATAAATACTGTAATTTAAACTTACATTGTTAATTTTATTTTTAAATAGAAAGAAAACTAAAACTCGGGCCATTTTTTCACCGGATTTGATTTATTCAATTTTCAATGAGATGATCCTCAGAGATCTAGAGGAGCTACCAGGATTTATTATTAGTAGATGTAATCTTAAGATATGTGGGTAACACTGTGTTGATGGCAGAATCAGAAAGCTGAAACAACTTTTAGACAATGTATTAAACTTAAAGGAAAAGCAAGAAAAAAAAGGACTAAAACTATTAACTGTGAATGTGATACATAATGCAGAGTTGTTAGCAAAAGAGACTATCTGAGTAGTGTAGTAACAGACAATGGAAAATATGATACAGAAATCTGTAGATGTGTTGTGAGCAGATATGAAACATCAACCGCATTTAAAAAAGTGAATGATTAATGAAACATATGACAACATAAATATATGAAAAATTCAAATAAAATACAAAAGTCTTCACATAAAAACACATGCTTATACATATATTTTATATTCAAAATATCTAATACAAGTTAGCACATATATTTAAAAAAAAACAATATGAATTTTTGTACTTATCTGTTTGGTTTGTCACAAGCCTGAAATGCATGTGTCCTGATACCATAACTTCTAGAAGCAAAAAATAGATTAACTTTCTTACCTAATGATGTCTCGTACGGGTCTTGTCAGGTCACATAACTGCTTTTTATTATCAGGAATATTTATAATTGATTTTTATTGTTATTTTTGTTTGGATCAAGGAGAGATAAATTTTTTGTCTATCACAACAAACAAGTGGAGTCAAGTAGTAGTGATATTGGTTGTCTCTCTTCCAAGAAACTTTTCTACCTGCTTTCATATGACTAGGCTTACTATTTCTGTCTATGCTTTCTTATATCATCACTATGAGGTTGCTTTTCAGTTATTACTTGTGTATCACTTTTAGGTTCAATGTATGGTTTTAATCTATCTATTGATATCATCAACTGTATCTCATTATTCATTTTAATTACAAAATACTTGTCAGTTATATGTAACACTTAGAAGGGACCAGTGTAAAGGGCTTTTCAGAAGCTTATGAACTCTATCTACTCTTAGCCATACACTTTTACATGTTTCAAGCCTGTCAGGAACATATTAATGTGATTTATTTACAGAGCTCTATGCCTGTTGAATGAAAGGCACATTATAATTCCTTAGCAAACTTCTGATTATCTATGTTATCATTAGTGTCATTTACTAGCAACTGAAGAATCATTATATGCATTCCTCTAACTATAAAAAAGAAGTGTGAAGTATTTTTACCACTATTTACGGAGGTAGAGATGCAATAACATTTTAAAATTTGGTGATTTGGGAAATTACACTTCTCAGATAGAATTAGAATTGAGGTTCAACAATTGTCAACCAACTGGTAATGATAGCTTGCATAAATTCCAGTATCTTAATTGTTATTTGTTGGACAGTCAGCTCTTGCTCTTGCTTCATTTTGTTTTTTTGTATTATGTGTGTAATATATATATATATATATATATATATATATATATATATATATATATATGAAGTTGAGGTAATTTAATTTTTGCTTTTGTTAGGTGTTTTTTAGTAGATTTAAGCATTTCTCTATGGGGATGTTTGTGTATAGAGATTTTATATCTAAACTAACCATATATTTGTTTTAATGTCTATGTTTTTTAATTTGTTTAGTACGCCACCTTTTTTATGTGTGATGGACTAATAGTGCTGAGAAGTGGAGTTAAAATTCTGCTTAGTTTGTGGGCTATTTTATGTGGGGCGCTGCCTATCCCTGATATGATAGGTCTCATTGGTATGTTCAGCTGATACATTTTTGGTAATCTGTATAATGTGGGTGTTTTGGGATGGTATTCAATAAGTTTTATCCAGGAGCAGTCTTCATTTTTTAGTAACTTTTTGATGTCAGTTGTGAATTTTTATGTTTCTTTTATAGCTTTGTTTTCATTTTTCTTTTTAATAGATGTTATCATCATTAATGAGCTCTCTCATCTTCTGTTGCTAAAAGTGTTTATCCATGATTAAATCCACTTATCAGCACTATTAGCCCATCTCACATAAAAAATTCAGGTGACCTCCTAAACAAATTAAAAAACATAGACATTAAAAACAAATATATGGCTAGTTTAGATATAAAATCTCTATACACAAATATCTCCATAGAAAAATGCTTAAATCTACCCAAAAAAACACCTAACAGAAGCAAAAATTAAATTACCTCAACCTCATATATATATATATATATATATATATATATTACACACATAATACAAAAAAACAAAATGAAGCAAGAGCCAACTGTCCAACAAATAACAATTAAGATACTGGAAGCAAAAATTAAATTACCTCTACCTGCATGTAAAATCATAAATATGCCAAATATATATATATATATATATATATATATATATATATATATATATATATATATATATAAAAAGCAGGATGTGTGTGTAAATGAATGCACGGCCGCAATTTTCAACAGATTTGCACCAAAATTTACATGCACATGCTCCAAGTTAGTGGGAAGGCCAAGAACAACTTTGCATTTCCCAACTTCCATTGATAGTGGAAATAATTGATTTTTTCATGCTTCTATGGCAATTTTCATGTAGTTTGCAGCCATTTTCTACTGGCCAAGGTGAGAGCCTATAGCTGACTGCCACGAATAGGCAGGAAGATTCTATTGGCCAGCGTGAGAGCCAACAGCTGACTGACACGAATGTTAACTAGCATGCAAAAAAATCGATAGCTGCATTGGTCACAAGTGGGAAAAATTTAAATCTGCATGGCACTTTACTCCAATTGGCTCATTCGCTTGCTTAAACGTTGATTCTGATTCCGCAGAACTGGGTTCGTGAAAAGTATTTGTTGTTAACATTCTTTTTCACTCAGTTTTTCCATTACGAGTCCTTTTAAAGCTGATCGTTTTGTGTTCATTTTGTTTAGTTCTTTTTCATAACAGATTTAATGTTTAGTATAGAGCTTAGAAAAAATTTGCAGTGCGAGATAGGCAAGAAGTAAGGCATGTAGCAACATCAGCACGGCAAAGGGCACTCCTTTAAAGGCAAGGAAGGGCAAAAATATTTTAAGTCACGTGATAGCGATTGCTGTATGAGTCGTACAATTTTTTAATCAAGCACGGGCAACGCTGGGCCATGCTACTTGTATATATATGAATTCAGCAAATATGTGGTTATCAAAATGTGTTTATTTTTTGTGGTCACCAAATATGATGGTTGTTAAAATGTGTTTTTTTTTTTTTTTTTTTGCCCATCGTAGGCTGAAATGCATGCATCCTTGACTTACGGAAGCAAAAGAGAGATTGACTTTCCCATCTAACAATGTCTCGTGCGGCTTTCGTCAGGTCACGTGACTGTTTTTTATTCACCTGAACATTTATAATTCATTTTTATTGCTATTTTTGGTTGGGTCAAGGGGAGATAACTTTTTGTCATTTGCTACAGATACATATGCATCGTGAAAGTTGCCTTTCACAAACTAAGTAAAGAATTAAGAGATAGAAAAATATCTTTAGAAATAAAGAAAAGAGTACTGAACTGCTGTGTAATATTTAATCTTCTGTATAGTAGGGAATGTTGTAGAATCTCCTTTGGGTTGAAGAAGAGACTTGAATTGGCAGTGATGTGGTTCTGCCAAAAAAGGCTAAGAATGCTATGAACTGAACATGTGCGCAACAAGGAAGTTTTAAAGAAAATAAGAACTACAAGGAAACTTATACTTACAATCAGAAAGAGATAATTTAAATTTATGAGACATATAATGAGGAAAGACAGCCTAGAGAATTTAACACTGACAGGACATATTGAAGTTTATGTGAATGGATGGCAGAACAAGACTAAAGAGGGATAGTAAAGTATCAAAAGTTACTTAAAGCTGTGGAGAGCCATGATTATCCATATCCTAAAGGAACATAGCACATAAAAGATCTTTTGTGGAAAATAAAAGTTACCAGTGATGAACTCTCCAAATAGGGGTGGAAGCACTACTGTTGGTTGCTAAGGTGATTTAACTGAATCTTGTTTTCTCTCACCTGGTTAAAATTGGGCTTTGGGCTTAAAAGAGTCCTGTTAGTAGACAAAGCAGCTATTATTGTTAACCACTCATCTGTTCTGCTTCAGTGCAAAGAGCATCTTTTTCGCAACTCTACTATTGTTACCTGGGCGTTCTATGTGTCTTTCCTATCTTTTGGAGTTAGAACTAGACCCATCTCCATCAAAAATTAGCAGAATTTTTAACAACTTAAAAGAAAAATATAGGAAATAAACCCTATTTCCAGCACAATTACATACCAATATATATATCATATTAAAATGTGCCAAAACATTATTTTCTATCCAATTCTTTTTCTTTATATTCCCTCAGGATATAGACAATCATGGCTTTACACAACTTCCTGTTCTTTTTCAGATTTCAGAGTTGCATATTAGAACATGTCCTTGAACAAACAATATTACAAACATGCCAAAATGATTCCACAATACAACACACATCATTTAAAGCATTGGTTAGAAATTAACATCACCATGTGAAATATTTGGTTAGAAATTAACATCACCATGTGAAATATTTGATTAGAAATTAACATCACCATGTGAAATATTTGACCAATCAGAAATCCTGTTTTTCTTGAGCCTACTTTCAGGAAAAATTTCTTATAAAAACCCACAGATTTTGACTTTCAAGAGCAGAGATGCAACTATCTCCCTCTAGTTCATGCTGAAATAAATATGTGTGGGTGACTTCAAATGAATCAGCTACAA